ACAACAATTTGCTCGCAGAACCAATTTTAAAATTTGTCTGTTAATTGTTATTTTCATTACCATTGTTCCAACTGTTAGAAAAAGCCTAAACTTTAGTGCATTATATTTGAAATAAAAGATACGTGAAACAGAAAAAAAAAATTAACGTTTTCTTTTTGATCACATTTAATAACATCGAACATCATGTTATTTATTTACAAAGACAAATTGCGGCTTTTACACTCTACAGTTGTGCTGAGCATTATTTTGACCAATCCGGATAACGGATTACAAATAATTAATCCGAATTTCGGATTAATCCGTTTTTATCTGGTTTCACGGACCCAATCCATCGATTTGGATTTCGGATTCAATCTGTTGATTCGGATTTCGAATCCAATCCGGCTTTATTGTTTTTGAGATAATCAGCTATATTTTCATTATTATCAATTATCAACCTAAATAATTCCAATAACGATCTCAGATCTATTGACAATCTACTCAATATAAGACCCCTAATAGCAAATACACCAGGGTTTTCGAGTTTTTCACAATTTATTATTAGGTACCCACCTATGAAGTAGGAGCTAGGAATTAGAAAGTAGCAAGTAGGTATTTACTATTTTTATTAATAAAAAAAGGAGATGTTATGTGCGTATTTTTACGCAAATCATAGCCAAATCTGACCTCATGTGGTTTTAAAATAAAAAGTCAAAGGTGTTAAAATTTATTTCATTGATTTTTCTAATCAATCAATATATTTTTTCATTTTTTCAAGTTATAAAAAAAAATAATAATATATAAATTATAATTTATCATTATGTGAAAGAAATATTAACCATTTGGCTGTTTCACCAGCCAGACAACTTCTTTTTGGAGTTATAATGTTTCCTGCAGTGGAAAAAGCTCTTTCAGACGGAGTAGATATTGATGGTATACATAAATATTTTTTGGCAAGTTTCAAAATCATTGGGTATCTTTTGCTATTTTCAGCCCACCATGTTAATGGACAAGCATTTTTTTTGATACAATTTTCTCTTAAATATTTTTCAAGCTCATTTCGTTGATTAACATCTTCACCACTGTCATTTTGGGGAAATAAAATATCTAAAGCAGATACCATGGACCTTGGCTGATTAATAGAATCATTAATTGAAGAATCCTCATAATTATTTGATGCATAATAAAATCTTTTAAGGTAATTAAAATATCACTTTCATCCTTAAAAACATTTTTATAACGTGGGTCTAAAAGTGAATCAATATTTAAAAGAAATATAGAATCACTGTGCATTTGACTAAAAAATCTTGCTTTGAACTCTTGTGACAATGTTTCTTTTAATATTTTAATTTTATATAGGTCAGATTCGTTGGGAGTCAAAGAGTGTTGGGCATTGCTTTTTAAAATAGGATGTACAGTTGATATTGTTGGAGTTGTTGCAGATGACAAGACTTTAGTAACAAGATCGAAAGGCTTGAGCACTTTTACTAACTGCTCCAATAGCTCCCATTTACTTTTGCTGAGTTCCAGTGATATTGCTGTTCTTCTAGTAGTGGTATTACGATCATTTAAAACTATGCTTATACATTGTCGAGACTCAATAAGTCGTTCAACCATTGCATAAATCGAATTTTATCTAGATTTAAGAGACTAAATTAATTTTTTTTCTAGCATTTTTAATTTTTCTGTACTACTTGGACTGCTTTGATTGCTACTGATGAGTTTTTGAAATGTGAAACGATTCTAGATGTAGTAATTAGTATTTGTTTTATTTCATTTTTATCCAAGTCTTCTTGACACATAACTGTAACGAATGAGCGAAACATGTCCTATTTTCAATGTTTAGAGCCATTGGAGTAGTGGCATTCCTAATATTTACTGCATTGTCATGCACAATACATATAGTTTTTGTATCAATTTTCCATTCCATCATAATATCAACTAATTTGTCTTTTAAATTTATGCTGGTATGCCGCTTATCCATTACTTCAATTGTAATAATATAATTGACTATTTTCCAGTTTTTAGTTATGCCATGTACAGTAACTGATGTGTAAGATTCCATAGCTTTACTTGTCTAACAGTAGTCTATTTTCTGTATTTCAGTGGCTACTTTATGTTTTTCTGTCTCATACAGTCCTTGAATTCTTCTTTTGATTGTAAACCGACTTGGTATTTCATAATTTGGTGATATTTTATTCATAAACTCAACAAATCCAACACCATCCACTGTTGAGAGTGATAGCATATCTTTGGCTATAAATTTTACAAGACTGTCTACTATTTGCTCTTGTCTTTTGGCTGATACAGATGGTGAAAAGAACATCTCTGTTATCCTTGGCTGCGTTAATAGTCCTATATTTCTAGATTCTGATACTCCTGTTGTAGATGTTGATGGTGAACAGCTAACTTCAGTATTAATACTGTTATTATCATAAAAATCAGTCTCATTTGATAATTTAGAGGTATTTTGCAAATCATCATCAATGTCATCGTCATCATTTTCTAATAATCTAAAAAC